CGCCTTGAGAACAGCTCTGGAATCAAGCATCCCTCCATCCCAGCCCTAATAACCATATGCCACAAAGACATTATGAAATTGTTCTCTGGTTTTCTCAGCTACCCATGTCAGTGGTTGAGGCTAGGGACAGACTCACTACAGTCCCTTGTGAGACTGGGACATGGGTAGGTTATGGATTCGTCTGGACATGGCCAATCAACAGATAGCTGAATCTCCATCTTGCCGTATTAAAGCTTCTGGCTTCAGAGGAAGAGCTAACACCCTGGGAAAGGTGAGCCAGGCTTCCTCTGACCCTCTGTGCACCCATGCTCTCCCTGACAGGGATTTGTGGAAATAACAAGGCAAATCGCTCCCCTTGGACTCAGGGTACACAAAGACCATTTCTCATTGGCCACTGATGGTCCAATTGACTCACAAGGTGCTTCTCTGGGTTGGCTACTGCCATTTAACACACTAAGTTGTGATGATATTGTGTCCTACAATACATTGTGCACCCTAATAAACTTATCTGGGGTCAGAGAACAGAACAGCCACTAGATAGACATAGAGACCAGAAAATGGTGGCGCACACACGCCTTTAATCCTATCACTTGGGAGGCAGAGATCCAACCAGATCTCTGTGAGTTCAGGGCCACACTGGAAACAGTCAGGCATGATGACACACACCTTTACTCCCAGGAAGTGATGGCAGGAGCAGAAAAGTATATAAGGGGTGAAGACCAGGAACTAGAGGCTTTTTAAGCTTTTAGGCCTTTATCAGCAAGTTCAGCTGAGATCCATTCAGATGAGGACTCAGGATTGAGGAAACAGGATCGACTGAGAAGTTGGTGAGGTGAGGTTGGCTGTGGCTTGTTCTGTTTCTCTGATCTTCCAGCATTCACCCCAATACCTGGCTCCTGAGTTTTTTTATTAATAAGACTGTTTAAGATTGGTGTCACACTAAGTACCAAGAAGTAGAGGGGAGCGAGTAGGTGCCTCCTGCAAAGTGTCCAGTCCTGACCTTGGAAAGGAGGGATGAATCCTCATTAACAGGCAGATCCCACAGGCTACTACTAGCTTATAAACTTGCTTTTCTTTCTCCAAGCATCAAAGTTCATAAAAAGTCTCCCAAAATTAATGTTTACTAGAAAAAGGCTATAAAGACTTTATTTGATACTGAAAACAATTAAAAAACCTACCTTTTTGCTTCAGAAACATAACATAAAATGAAATATCTGCTTTAAACAAGGTCAGGGCAGGGAAGTAAACATCAAGGAGGAGGAAGAAGGGCTGAGAGGGAGATGGTTCAGTGGGTAAAAAGCCTTCCTTGACCTGAGAGCAATCTCCAGAACCTACATTACCAAAAACAAAAACACCAAAAAAGCCAGGCACAGTAGCTGACACTTGGAATCCCAACACAGAGCCCCCCGGGGCTCACAGGCCAGACAGTCTAGCCTACTCGGCTAGTTCCAGGCCAGTGAGTGAGAAACTTCGCATGGAGGAAACCAAAAGGGGTAGGGAGTGGACCACACCTGAGGAACGATACCTGAGGTTGTCACTTTGCCTCAGCACACATCTGTACACACCTACACACCTGCCTGCACAAATGCACACACACGGAAGAAACAACATGAATAAACACACCAACTTCTCTTGTTCTTAAACAAAGACAAGGATGAAATGAGTGGAGAGAGGCTGTGAGCCTCCATGCTGTGCAGGTCACGAATCAGGGCCAGGCTGCATCATATAGGAGCTCAGGCCAACAAGAACCGAAGCCTAGCCTCTGAATGCCTGGGAGCAGCCGTCCTCCAGACATCTGATTATAGGCTCATCTGTCGCCAGGTAAAGGCATGCTTGGCATCCCTGAGGAATTCACTCTGTCATTAGCCTATCTTCGGGCCTTTGTGGGACTTTTCCCTCCAGCCACAGCCCAATACCCTCTTTATCCAGGTACAAGATAAGCATCTCCTCCTCCACTCAGTGGGCTGTGCTTTGGGAAGTCCTTTGGGAAGAGCAGTACCACACTCTAGGAAACCCTGGGGTACATCAACACCTCTTCAACCCATTTATCTCTCAGACTTACTTATCCAGAGGGCCTGGTATTCACACACTTTCCTTATACAATGTGACCCTGCTGGAACATTTCAAAAGGATGTCGCAGCCAATGGCCAATGGGCAGGCTTTATCTGACATGAAATGGGTTCAATTTATTTTCTTTTGGTGATGCTGGGGATTGGACGTGCTAGGCAAACACTCTACCACTGAGCTACAACCCCAGCCCAAGAATCCTGATTTAGGCCCGTGCAGTAAAATACGTGCCCGGTTTAGGCTGTGCATTTACTAGCTGACAATGAATAAAAGAAAAGGGGAGGAAAATGAGAAGAAACCCAAATTTTCCCCTTGGCTACACAGGGAATGTGAGAAAAACTGAGAGCTTAGGTGGAGATGAAAAAAGTCAGCCGGCCAGAGAGAGAGGAGAACATGATGAACCCGGGTGTCAAAGGGAACTCAAGAGCATCTGCCTTCTTCATATAAAGCAAAAGGAAGAACATGGCAGCAGATGTGAAATTTTTTCTGTAAGAGATGATGGAGCCAACAAGTTGGTTCATCGGGTAAGAGTGCTCAACACCAAGAGCCCTTTTGATTCCTTGGAACTCATGATGGAGGAAGGCCCTGGCTCCCATGGAAGTTGTCCTCTGGCTACTGTAGACATGCTATGCCATATGCCTGCCCCCATGCAAACACACACATGCAAACACACACACACACACACACACACACACACACACACACACACACACACTACATAAACAAAACAATGTGAGAAGAGTTTTCTTTAAAAGTGATGAGGCTGGAGAGATAGCTCAGTGATTAAGAGCACTTGCTGCTCTTGCAGAGGACCCAAGTTCAGTTCCCAGCACCCACAGCAGACAACTTACAACTACCTGTAACTCCAGCTGCTAGGGATACAATGCCCTCTTCCGGCTTCCCAAGGGCTCCTGTACACATGTGTAAATATACATACACATAAAGATGGATTTTTTTTCCCAAAAGATGAAATAATTTTGGGCCAATGGCCTAGCTACATCAAGTTACAGAGTTCACTTGTTTCCCTATGACAAAAACAAATAATAGAGATGGGGACATCACTCCCTTTGCTTACACTCCCTATGCCAGAGTTCCAGTGTGGAAGATGAATGGTCCAGGGGTAAGAGATGAGGATAAGAGATAAGGCTACGAAAGGGTGGTATTCAGCCTAAAGCCTTAGCAGTACCTGGCCAGGTAATATCTTATGATTAGATTCTCCTAGCAACTCACTGGGCAATGAATTAACTTCAGCCCCATCTTGCTTCTCTAGTCCCACAAATGACAGCGGTGCCACTCAAAGTTGTAATAGCATTCTCAGGGGCCAGAAGGAACCTACCGGACCTCTTTGATCCCCACGCTCAACACAGTTGGTCCTCGGCTACATCCGACATATACTGCAGATTCTATCCCAAGACTCTGCAAGAAAACACCTGAGGGGAACAAGGCCCCAAGGACCTGCTCAGCCTGTAGTGTGAAGCAGGGTTGAGAACAGCCAGGCCTGTGTCCAAGCCACGACTGGCCAGCTGGTTCCCAGTCCCTCCCAGAACTTGTCCACAGAAAGGACTTTACTAGCCAAAGGCCTAGGAAAGGCAGAGTTGGGTCAAACACAGAGACTCTTAAGGTGTCAACGCAGCATCACCTGAGGAAGAGTTCAAAATGCAGGCTTCCAGATCCATTCAAGATCTACTGAATAGGAATCTCTGAGGCTGAGACGAATGAATATACAATTTGAACACATACCTCCAGGTTCTACTAAGATGCACAGTGGAACCCAGCCAGTGCTGGCCATTTCAGTTTCTACTTAAAAACTAATGGCAGTCTTATCAGAATCAAGTTCCAAATCCTTTCCTAAAGATTTGCATCCACACATCCCTGGACCATAGTCCCCATGAACAAGCAGAGAAGAATTCAAATACTTCTTTTCCCATTTGCTTTTGAACGAACGACACAGAGAAGGTTCTATCTTGCCGCACAGAACTAGAACTTGCCATCAAAAACCAAGCCCCAGGTTAAAAGTAACATTCTCCCTGTCTCATGTAACAGTCACCTTGTCTGGGGGCTGGAGAAGTGGCTCAGTAGTTAACGAGTGCTTGCTCCTCTTCTAGAGGACCAGAGTTCAACTCCCACCACCCATGTCAGGAAGCCTCCAACTGCACATAACTCAAGCACTAGGGGATCTGACACCTCCATTTGGCCTCCACAGGCACCTGAATACATGTGCTTATAACACACACACACACACACACACACACACACACACACACACACACACACACACACACGTGCACATATATACATAAGATCATCTTATCACTGAATCCCTAGCCACATCTATAACTTATAGGCAATAATATAGGCATACAATGTTATTCTAAAAACTAGACAGATGCAGCCAAAACCCAGTTTAGAAGAAATCGCAGACCATTCTCATGCAAGCAGTAGTTCAGTTATACCTCCAGACTGTATGTTTCTTTCTGATCTCTACTTGAAACAAAAAGGCAAACTAGAGTCTCTTTCCAATTCATCGTGAAAGCTCCATCTGAATTTCCAAGCCTGTCTCATACAGGAGCAACGTATCCCAGGCACAAATACCTATTCTTCCAACAGACTCCTGTCCTTAAATATTACCACCAACCCAGAGGGCACTGCCTCCAGAGTAATCCCCCTGAGCAGCTCTGATTTGCACACTGCTGTCTTTCCTTCCTTTAAAATTAGACCCCATCCACCCCCACCCCCCACCCCCCAGCAGCACGGTGGCTTGAGACTCTAAGTTCCAAACGCTGACTGATCTTCCGCACAGCGGCAGGTTAAACCTGCCTGCTGAAGCTCCCCGAAGTTAGAGGGGGATATCAAGGCAGAGGGAAAGATCTAAGAGCTGGCTGGGGGATAAAGGGGAATAAGTTTCTTCAAACTCTTTATCTACTTTCTGTTACCTGTCTCCGCAGGGGGATGCGCTTGGTCAGCTTGTGCACAGCTGGCTGGCTGCTGAAGTCCGGCTTCTTGGTCGTGGTCTTCATTCGGCACAAGATGACGGTCACCACCATGCAGGCAATTAAGAAGACCCCTATGCAGTAAATAGCTATTTCCAGGTAATCTGGGGAAGCTGTGATCTCCTTTTCTCTAACAGGCGCTAGATTGCAGATCATAGGAGAGGAACAAATAAGCAGGCCACAGAGTTAGGATACCAGAGGGATGCATCACAGTGTACGTAGCTCAAGGAACCATTCTGGCAACGAGTACTTCCCCATCAATAAGTCAATGCAAAAGGATACCCAGAGGCAGAACAGCTATGTGCTTCCTGCCTGGGCCCAACAAATAGCCAAGGGCTCCTCAGTTTATCACTGCAGCCCAGGCAGCCACCTTCTCTAGCCTCAAAGGGCCTCTGCCACCAGTGAGTAGCTGATCCTAAATTGTAATGGGAGACTACAAAGCCACATTCCACTAGGCCCCTGGACAGAGCAGGACACCCAGTACACCCACCACAGGAAAGTGTGGTGATGATGTCGCTAAACATAAACCTAACTGAGAATTGTTTAAAAAAGGAGCACGTGCACTTTTGCTTCTAAGGAAACAGGGACAATGCTTTGCTGTTACTAAGGGAGGCACTTCAAGGGAAGACTCAATAGAACCCTAGCGGACCGCAGCTCCATATGGAGTTCACAACCATCTAGTAGGCTGGCCCAAAAAGTTTCTGTGAGTACCTTCATACAATCTAGAATATTATTCAGTTAAACAAATCTATCAACCATGAGATAGTCACATATAATATATATATATAAATACCTAACAACCACTAAAATGTTGGTATATCCAGTTATATTAACTTGTTACTGAGCCTTTAAAAAAGATGGTACTGCATGTGAATAGAGATGGGATTGATTTAGCACGTTCTTCTGTCAACTCTATTGGTCCCTCCTTGGTTCTGAAATGGTCACTCTACAAGCAGTGTATTCCCAAACATTATTATCCTCAAGCTGCATTTCCTTAAGGGGGTAGTGTTGTCAGGCAAATTGGTTAAGAAGTGCCAGTCGGGCACTCACAGAGCACAGCATTGTAAGTACAAGCAAGCTCAACAGGAGAGGCATCTCTGTTTCAAGAATAAATACTCACAGAGCAGATTCATAACCAAAGGGGAAGATGGGTGCAATGGTTATTCTTTTAAAGCTTATACATTTTAATCAGAAAAACAAATATTTGCAAAGACAATCAAAACTCTCAGCAGCACAGCACAAAAACAAAACGATCAATTTATTTTCATGAGCTATAAAACAAGCATGCAGTAGGCATGGTACTCTAGAAACAAGGCATTAATAACTGGAGTAGACGAGCATCACGAGCTGCAGCACACGGTCTATGCAGTTTTCCAAAGGAAATGTGAGGCAATGCATGAGAGAAGGCAGCATTTATCGAGAAAGTTGGACCAGAACAGAGGCATTGGTTAAAGACTTAGAGAGCAGTGGGCTTCGCTGATGTGTATTTCTCTAGAAGGCAGAAATAACATCAAGCCCGAGATGGCATACACATGCTCTGCAGTAAAAGCGAACTGAAGTCCACCCTGTTAAGGCATGCAGCAAGCCACCCGATTCCCAAGGTAACACACTGCTTCTGCACACCTAAATCCAGAGGTGCTCCTCGGGCACCCCGAGAGAAATCTCTGTACTCAATTGAGATGTAAGTAAGATGGACTGAGAGGCATCAAACCACACAAGGGATTTCAGCAAAGTGGAATTTGCAATGGGAAAAAAAAAATTACTTTGAATTTTACCAAATAATTTTGACTTCCTTCTTAGGAGCAGAGGGGTGGGCTCATTGAGTCATCAGCTCAATGATTCACTAAAATTTCAAGATCCCTTTGGGGTTTATAGGTGAAATTTTACTCAACATACAAGCATGGGATCTCCTTTAATGTGAATATCTAAGGCAGTTCTTCTCCCTGGGGGGGGGGGGTCATTTTGAACATTTTTCTTTGCACCTTTATGCAATGGATAAAAGGGGCTATTTCTAAGAACAGAAGCTGTGTTAATTTTATAGCAATCAACCAAGAAAAGAGAAAAACCCACCGAGAGGAAGAGCAGTATGTACCTGGCAGAACTGTCAACCATGCAGAGTGAAAGGATATCCCAATAGAGTTACCCGCCAAGCACGTGTATTCCCCAGCATCCTCAAGAGTTACATTCCGAATATAGAGAACCTCAATCTCTTTGTCCGTGGTGTTAACACCGGCGGCCTAGAAAACAAAGGAAGCAAGAAAAGGGCTAGACAGAGGAATGATTGTGGAGGGGGCCTTGGAACCAAGAGGCCTCGTAGCAGCGGCTCCAGGGGGTGCCGGCCGTCAGGAGATTCCGACTGCAGCCCATCCACAAAGCCCACAACCGAGAGAGACATTGAGAGACACTGGCCAGCTCACCTCTGCAGGCCCGTCACCACACCGGCGTCACCACCTAGACATGCATGCAGTTGAACACATGGAGAAATGAGCCCACAGAGTTCTCTTTGACTTCGTTTTCATTTGGATTTGGGGGTGGGTTGTCAAAAAGTTTGTTGCCCAGAGGGCTACTCTGGGTTCTGGTCCTGTTGGATGCAAACTCCCATTGTGAGAAAAGGGGAGGCTCTTCTGTGTGGTGGAACAAAACATGGAAGATGAAGCTGTGAGGTAGTCGGCTCGCACATCCATTGCGCCCCATGGGAACCAAGGAGGTTATCTTGGTTACCAGATTTTGGTTAATTTCTCTCAGGCTAAAATCATCTTGTCTTAAAAAAAAAAAAACCTGGATTTTTTTTTTGGTTTACTTTTTTAATATTAATGTCTGAATGTGACTAATAATAAGTGAAAACTTAACCTTCTACCTTCAATATCATCTAGTCACACATTCACTAGAAGATAGATAACCAGCCTCCAGTTTCAGACAGGCTTGGGTATGGGATCAAAACAAACAAACAAACAAACAAGTTTTCGTTTGTTCGGCAAATCCTATCATGCCAGCATTTCTCTCCACAACCCGTATAAAAAGCAACGTGAGCCCTGCCTAATAATCGGATACTGCAGACTCAACAGGCGTGCAAACTCCAGGTTCACATGCTACTCAGACTCAGTGAGCACGAGAAGTGTGCAGTCCAAACACGACAGACCAGAAAGAAGGGCTTGAAACCAGGGCGGGACGGGGGGAATGGATAATCTTCAAGCACTTTGAACACTGTGGGCATTTTTCCATGGCCGCTGGCATGATGCCAGCTGCACCACCAAAGAAAGATCATTATAAATATACCAAGGCCATAAGAGTTATTCTAGAAGCTGCCTGCTGCCTCCCAAAGCACCGAGTCTTTTCAACTTCCATATCCAGTTTTCTTTAAAAATAAAAATAAAATAAAACAAAACAAAAAAAAAAACCACAAACACAAAAACATTGTTACCTTGCTGTTTGGGCAGGACAGTGAGCCAGGCAGACTGGTTGGCCTGCCCTATATAATTGGAGACCTTACATATATACTCCCCAGCATCCATCTCCGTCACATTGAACAGAGCCAGCACTTCTGCATTGGAGCTATTTATCCCCGAGTGCTAGAACAGACATAGGAAAACAATATAACGGCCAACCAGGAAGGACTCGGTGCTGCCTATGGTCCCACCACCAACACACCACAAGAAAACAATCTCCATTAATCACTTCTAAAGGGCTGTGGGAGGGTGGTGAACAAAAAGTCGTGGAGTGGTGGAGATCAGCGTGATCCGACAGAGGAGGTGGAGAAGGGTGAACGGTTGGTGGAATGGGTGCAGCGCTCCCGGCCGGTCGGCTTTCTCCAGCAATTTGGATCCTGGGTATTGCTGGCTAGAGAGGAGACTTTATTGGTTGAGAGTTCTTCGTTAGCCTCCTGCCACTCCCATAGCTGCATAGGAAGGCTGTTCTTTGTAAGCACACTCCCTGCGAGCATGGTAGACAGGCAGTCATGGCTCAGAATGGACAGTCGAGACCTGGCTAACCATGCGGAAGTGGAAGCTAGACCTGAAAACTAAAGAGGCTGAAGCCAAGCCACAAAAATGCGAACTTGTGGGGGAGGGAAAAAAAAGGATTTCTTTTAATGAGAAATACAAAGAGAAGGGAGTTCTCTTCGTTATTTGACAGGTACAGAAACATCCCCCCAAGTTTACTCTCTGGACCACACGGAAGTCAAAAAAGGTGAGAGAGAATTTTTTGAAAAAGCAAAGTACTGTATCTAAAAGGTGGCTACGAAAATTTGATTCTAATAAATATGACATCAAATATCAGAAAACAAAACAACATCAGAAGAACACGAATACACTGTCTGGAGGTTTTCAGGTATTTCCACCTACTCCATCCCATTTACTCTGCACACTGCCTTGTAAGCAGGCACCACGATCCCAGCTTTAAAGATGTGCACTAGAGCCTCCTCTCAGACCTCAGGGCTGATAAACAGCTGGATTCTCTGACTCCAAGTGTAGGAGCACTTCGCCTACACCACAGCTCCCTTCAGAAATGTTACCAGCAGGCCTAGTGGCTACCAGTTCCTGAATACACTCTACTGACTAGTCCATAAAGAGACCCATCTCAAAAATACAACAGGAAATCAAAGATCTGGTCAAATCCCCAAGGGAGCCCCTCACTTGTGGGCCCCTCGGGATCCAGAAAGTCCTCACCTTCAGGACCTTGAGGTAGGGCAGCCCATCAGGCCCGTATTTACTGCCGTTTTTTTCCACGTGCTTGATCCACTGGATGTGGGGCTGGGCGTCACTGTACACCTTGCAGACAAACTCCACGTCCCCTCCGACCACCGCAGAGGCATTTGCAGGCAGTCCAGCTTGGAGGATGGGCCGGTGTGGTGATCGCTCTGATGGAGAGACGCGGTGGGAGGGGGGGAGAGAGCAATCAATGAGTTGTGTTGTCCAGAAGGCTGTCCGGGAACTCAAGCCAAAAAGGCCTCCCATCTGCTGGCTGACTCCGCTGGAATAACACGGGGGCCCCATGCACAACGCACAGGACTTCAAAGCGGATCACTGGAGCACAGCCCTTGTAAAGGACACTTATTTAGAGAACCCAGAAAAGAACGCATTACATCGCAAGTTACAGACTACCTAATGAACGAGGGGAAATTCTTTATTTCAACCATCCAGGAGACAGATGGAGCCGGTGGAAGGACACTTATTCACTTACTTGGCTTGACATAATGCCTGGATTCACTTTAAACACAAGCTAGACAGCAGGGGCAAGTGACATGGCTAACTCTTAAGGTCACCCTGAAAAATCAAGAGAGGTTCTTCTATGCATGATCTCTCCAAGTTCATTGCTAACATGCTCTGGGAAGTCTTGTATCCCCCGCTTTAAAAAGCAAATTGCAAACTAACGTTCCAAGTGAGGATGAAACCAAACTAACTGGATCCCTCTTTCTATCATGACACGACTCTATTCAGCGGTCTTTTCTTTAGTTATTCATTCATTTTGCAAGTACCAAGTGTCACGATGTGCCAAGCACCAGATGTAGATATGTAGATATTCCTTAGCTTTATCAGATGTGGTACTAAAGAAACACAGGGACAGATGCCTGTTTCCAGGTTAAGTTTCACAGTCTCAGAGGAGGCCCCACGGGAGGGATGCTTGCTTGGCCCTTCTTTTCTAGCCTCAGAGAAGAATCTCAACAAAGCACACTCCTCCTTGTCTTATACCAGAAGGTTCCTCTCCAGGTGAGAGGCATTCTCAGCAGAAATCCATAGAGGGACTGGGTCAGGCGTGCTGGCAACTACACGTGAGGTCCCTCAAGAACTAAGTAATAGCCAATTAAAAACGGACTAAGAACTTTCACCAAAGACATCCACATGGTTAACAAGCAGCTGAAACGATGCTTAGCATCTGTAATCATTAGGGAAGTGCAAATCAAAATTATCATTAAAAACATAATAAGACCATTGAGGGCCTGGAGAGTGAACCCCTGCACCACTTCCTGTACTAGGGTAAGTACAGAAAGTCTGGAGAAAAAAAAAAAAAATGTAATTTATCTGATCCAGCAGTCTTCATTTTAATGAGGATCTGAGACACATCTATCACAGAGCTATTCACAACAACCAAGATTTTAATTTAAACAACACCTTCAATGCCCATCAACAGAAGAATGGATAAAATAAAGACTCTGGTCTAAAAAAAAGCCGGGTGGCAGTGGCGCACGCCTTTAATCCCAGTACTCGGGAGGCAGAGCCAGGCAGATCTCTGTGAATTCGAGGCCAACCTGGTCTACAAAGTGAGTTCCAGGACAGGCACCAAAACTACACAGAGAAACTCTGTCTCGAAAAACCAAAAAAACAAACAAACAAACAAAAAAAGAACTCTGGTCTCTATATACAATGGAAAAACTAACTATCTTTAAAAAGAAGGAAATCAAGCCGGGCGGTGGTGGCGCACGCCTTTAATCCCAGCACTCGGGAGGCAGAGCCAGGCGGATCTCTGTGAGTTCGAGGCCAGCCTGGTCTACAAAGTGAGTTCCAGGAAAGGCGCAAAGCTACACAGAGAAACCCTGTCTCGAAAAACCCAAAAAAAAAAAAACAAAAAAAGAAGGAAATCATGCAATCTGATGCCAATTGACAGCAGGAGTAGACCTGGAAGACATCATGCTAGGCAAAATACACCAGTTACAGGACAAATACTGTGTGACCCCACTTCCAGGAGGGATGTAAAACTCTTAAATTCATCTATCATAAGAACAGAATAGTGGTGGCCAGAGATGGAGAAGAGGGGAAATGGAGTGACTAATCACAGAATATAAACTTTCAGTCATGTAAGATGAATACATTCTAGAGATCTGGTCTACCTACGACTGAAGATAAGGTACTATACACTTACAGCTACATCGGGAGTACATCACACGTTACTGCTCTTACAACAGTAAAATGAATGAATAAGTAAACAAAGAATTAACAGACTGGGCTGCTGTTTGATCTCAAATACAAAAGCAGTGTCATTACAAATTTACTGGAACCTTCCTCACAGCAGCTCTATCAACAGCCATATGCACCCCAGTTACCAACCCATTCACAAATACATGCTTATACACTCCAACACTTGCCCCTTCCTCTGTCTCCAACCATGAGTTCCACTGTGCCAGCTTAACAAATGCACTTCAGACAGAGCTGAGCATGATGGCATATATCTTTCATCTCAGCACTTGGAGGCCAAGGCAAGTGGATCTCTGTGAGTTTGAAGCCAGCCTGGTCTACACAGTGAGTTCCAGAGCCAAGGTTACAATGGTAAGACCTTGTCTCATAACAACAACAAATAGTTAATAGAAACAAGGAGAACCCCTACATACCATCACTACTAAACCAGCCCAACAACAGCCCCATGTTTGAGACTCTCTGTGAACTGGGCTGGAAGCGGCAAATTAGAATGATAAATCTCTAAGTCTTTCTGTGTTAGGGCCTTTCTGATCCTGTGGAATTTGCTGAACCAAAGCCAGACCATATACAAATTGACTCTACTCCATAAGCCTGTTGCTGGCCCTTAAGGAACTTTTTAAAAAGAAAGAAAAAGTCTGAGCACATTTCATTCTGGAATCTTCCATCACTTCATAGACACCTACATTTCCATACAATAAAGATAAAAATTTCAGAGCCCCCCAAAGAGTCATTCATCTGCTCCTTTATCACCCATGTAGGCTGAGCAAAGAACAGAGGAGTTGGACCGTTCATTTTTGTGATTGGAAAACAAAAATCTCGAAGCTTCATTTCTTCATACATCACAGGAAACCCTCGAACCCGGGATGATGCCCTGCTTCTGGGATGGGCCAGAGTGACTTGTGTGCTATCGGGAATAACCAAGGTCTGTTTTAATCCCAGAGGGGCCCAGTAATGTGAGAAGTACAGAATTAAGTCCCCCTCATCCATGGCTCCTCTGTTTTCCCCAAGCCTGTGTCCCAGGAGTTCTACCAGCAGGATGGAGGCTCTCTGCTGGGCTGGCTATTGCCAGCCAAACTCACAAAATATGTTCATTTCTACCTGTCAAATATCAAGAAGGTCAATTCCTTCCGATAAAGAAGGAATTGTAGGGCTGAGGACATGTGTCTGTCAACCAAGTACCTTCTACATAAGCTTGAGAGTCTGAGTTCAAGCCTCTAGAGGACACGTTTAAAAAGCCAGGTGTGTGTGACGGCACACATCTGAGAGAAACTGGAGAAGTGGAGAGAAGAAGGTCCTTGGAAACCAATGGCCAACCTAGACAAGTCTGTGAGTTTCAGGTTCAATGGGAGCCCCTGCCTAAAACATATAATAAAGTGTGTGTGTGGGGGACTAAGGAACATAAGCCTTTAGCCTCCACAAATGTGTGTGTGTGCGCATGCACACACACACACACAGATCGAAGGTGACTGTGCATGCGTGTGCATGTATGTGTGTGTGTGTGTGTGTGTGTGTGTGTGTGTGTGTGTGTCTGTGTGTGTGAATGCAGGTGTCTTAGAGGCCAGAGGAGGGCACTGGATTCCCTGCAGCTGGAATTACAGGCAGTTGTGAGCCCCCCCCCATCATGAGTTCTAGGAACTGAACTTGGGAGTCCTCTGCAAAAACAGCACATGCTCTTAGCCACCAAGCTGCCTCTCTCTCTCTCTCTCTCTCTCTCTCCAGCCCTAAGGAAAAAATTTTAGGTATCAGTTCATTCCTTGCCTCGGTTTTCCAATTTTGTACTCACAAATATGCTTTAGTGCATGTATGCATCCATGTGCATGTGTGTGCATGAGCAGTCTAACTATTGACAGTCTTTCTTTAGAAACAAAAGGACAACAAAATCTCTGAGGTTTTGAGCCAGATCTACCGAATTTCATGGCAAGCCTGTTTTCCTTCGCCATACTTGTTTCTAATAAACGGTCTCACATGCAAACACTACACACGAAATACAGGGACTGCGAACAAGGAGTGCTTTCAGAAGGCAGCGTCTCCTCTTGCGCCAGCCTTGGGCAGGGAATCTGTCGCTGGGGTAACACTGGCAGGGCCTGGGCCACAGCTTGCAGTCTTGTTATACTTTGTGGTCAAAGGGCTGCTGAGCTCCGGTTATTAAGTTATTCCAAGCTATCCGGACTATTTTCACCCAAAGGGAAAAAAGAGACCTCTGCAATGGTTCAGTGTTATTGCATTTGCAAATTACAGCATACCGAATGTTAGAGCTCGCAGTCTTGAATTCATCTTTCCAAATTTTCTCACCTTATACGAAATGACCTCCTAACTACTCCCTCTCCCCTCTCGGCTCTTTCTCACTTTGGGCAGAAAAACTGCAAGTACGGTTGCTGTGTAATAGAAACCTTACACCGTCTCCCCAAACTTCTTACAGCTGCGCTCAGTATAAAATGAAACCTCAGAGAATGTTATTTAAAATGTTTTTTAAAAGTCAGTAGGCCTCATGTTTCATTTCTCCACACCAGGCTTTGATTTCCTTTGCAACCTTAGTCTCTGCCCTTAAACAAGTCGGAGAATGAGGCCTGAACCGTCTTGGAAAAGGTCCCAGGATGCCAACATCTGCCAACTACCACACTCCTCTTCTTGTCCCTCCTCAACCATGGATCTTCCACTGGTGTCAATAGACCCTTAAGAATAGCTATGGGCCTGCCAGGGTGGAGGGTGCACACCTGTGATCCCAGCACTCAGAAGCCCAAGACAGGAGAAACACAAGTTCAAGACCAACGTGGGCCACGTAGTGAGACCTTCTTCTTGTTGTTGTTGTTGTTGTTGGTTTTTTTTTTTAAAAAAAGGACAGACAACAACAAAAAGCAGCCACCAGGAAATTGGTGAAAGTGCATGGGAACACTTCCGGAAAGTTGGGGTGCAAGCAAGTCAGATGGCGGATGAAGAAGCTTGGCAA